CCCCATTTGTACAAGTGAGTTTCAAAATACAAGTGTGGGTTTCGCTATGAGAGGTTTTACATAGAAAGGAATACATAATTGGTCTCATTGGTAGTGATTTTCGGCTATGAAAATTGTGGTAATACTTGATAATTATTTAGATCTAAGACATATACAGAAAATGCAGGCAAATTAATTCTGTTTTGATAATAACAAAGGTGATAAATAGACAAACCGAATTCTCTGGTAATTATTTCTAATTATTATATTGACAGAATTCAGGTTCGTGGGCAATTACCATCTATTTCTGCCTGGTTCAGCTGAAAGATATAGGCACCTTGAGAGGCTAGGGAACATTTTCTAATGAAAAGGAGCCGTTTTGAAGGAGCAAGGACTTATCTTCGAGTGCTCAGAATGCTCTCTTATCCTCCTGTGCTCTTACCACCTCTCATTTCCAGAGAAGATTGTGGGGATATTCCTCCGTTCTTCTAAGTGACGTCTGTCTTGAGGATCAGATATTTGGGTTATCCTGTCTCCAGGGACTGGGAGATACAGACTCGTTACATGTTCAATGCACACATGATATCGGCAGGATCGATGTTTGAGCCAGTTTCTTAACTCTGTTTCTGATATTGTTTTTTATATATCCTTAGGTTCTTGAATTCACATTGATAAGTTTCTAACACTGAAAAACATATACGTTTCTTTTTCTAGCCCTTTTAGTTATAAATATATCTTGTGTTCTAAAATCCATTCTGGCGCTGTGATTAAATATCCCTGAATGCAAGTATCATGCCTGTTGATATTCTCTGTGTCCCCATTTTCAGTTTCCATTGGCTTTCCCCTTCATCAGCAGTCACACCTTGACAGCAACTTTGACCTTGACCAACCCGAGGGCAGGAGGTCCCCAAAGCGTGTGTGTGTGTGGTTTCACGTCCCTGCCCCACTCACTCCTCAGGGCACGGTAGGCAGGCTTTTGCCACTCCAGCTCTTTGAATTTTCCGAGGACTTCCAGTTCTCTTCACAATGGGCCTCTGGTATCACGTTTTAAAAAGTGTCCCTGGCGTTCCCTGGCTTCTCGACACCATCCTTTCCCCATTCTCCTGCCATCAGTCATGTTCCCCCACAGAATCCACTTGCTATTCAATCTCTAGGTATTGGCCCGGGTTCTCAGACTTTTTTTTCCACCCTATACTCTCCCTTTGGAAAAGCTCACCAATTTCCATAGATTTTTTAAGATTTTTTTTTTATTGGTTTAGAGAGGAAGAGAGAGAGAGAGAGAGAGAGAGAGAGAGAGAGAGAGAGAGAGAGAGAGAGAGATAGAAACATCAAGGGTGAGAGAGAATCATGGATTGTCTGCCTCCTGAATGCCCCACATTGGGGATTGAGTCCACAACCTAGGCATGTGCCCTCACTGGGAATTGAACCATGGCCTCCTGGTTCATCAGTTGACACTCAACCACAGAGCCAGACGGGCAGGGCCCAATTTCCATAGATTTAGTCTCTATGTCAATTACAGACAAACTTCTCCATAGCCCAGGTCCTAGACTCCTCCCCCAATAACCTCCATACGGACTGTGGCTCAATGGCCAGTCTAATTGCTTGTCCTGCAGACGCCTCAGGCTGAAAGCGAAGAAGGTGGGGCTCTGTTATTAGGTAAGACTCTTAGAGGGGATGAGGTTTGTGCGGAGTCTTGAAGGTGGTCAGCTCTTCAGGAGAAAGCAGTGAGGGGCGAGGGAGAGGTACACTTTGATGGAACAGCGACATCATGGCGACCAGAGTGCAGGGCCGGCCTGAGACAGCGGGGGTTTGGGTATGAATGATGCTCCGGGCGCCTGCAGGGGAATGACTACAGAGATCGCAGTCAGCATGCACATGTCTTTGTGTCTCGCATCACTGGGAAATAATTTATGGGTTTTAAGTCGATGAGAGATATGATTTAATTAGTCTGTTAGAATATTCATCGTACGATCGGCAGAGGAACGGCCTAGAGAAGATAAAGCTGGAGGCAAAAAGACAAAAGACGTTCCTACAAATAATTTAAAACCTTTAGACGTTAAACAAATACAAATGGAAAACAGAGATGGTGAGATAATGGCCACCAGGGCAACCAATAGTTAATATAAAAAGGTCATACAAATTGGTATTAATCTGGAAAACATATAAACATACGTTCAGGAATGTATGCATACGGCGTTTGTACTAAAGTGAGGAAATGTGAAAGACAGTAACCCAGAGCGGACAGGGGGAGAGGCTGCGTGCTGTGCGGCAGTGATGGCTGGGAGGGGGCCCCGGGAGGTCACCAGGTTTAGGAAGGACCCCGCGCGCCTCAGCTCACCTGGCTCCATCAGCGACCCGCCTTAGCCTTTTCCAGTTTGGGTTTCCCCAGCCCCAGTGACAGAGCTTGTCTTCCGCAGAGGCAGACGGTGGGGGCTCAGATTGTGGCCAGTGTTGGGGTTCTTGGGTTCCCTAAGGCAGAAATCGAGAGGCAACCGCAGAGGAGTTTCCAGACAGATTTTATTAAGCTGATGCCTGAGCAACAGCGAGGCCGCGCAGAGGAGAGGAAGGGGTCTGACTGGGCAGGTCTGGCGCGGCTCGCTGCTGTAATCAGCTGGGGGCACGGTGGGTTTATGGGAAAAGGCAGGCTTTTTGGAAAAAAGGGAGCTTGCGGGATTTTGCATTTCGGGGGTGTGTGTGGTTTCCTTTGCCAGCTGTGTTATGGCACCTGTGCTGTGAGAGCACGGCGGCAGCTGCTCATGGTTGCCACCCTAGGGCGGTTGTGTAGAGGTCAACTGAGCATGTGGGTCAAGTGTACACAGGCCCTTAGGAGGGAGGTAAGCACAGGGCCCCCTGCAGTTCTGGGCAGGGAGTGGCGCGGGGGGGGTGGGGTGTACAGCGTCTGCCCCAGTCTTCACTTGTCTTCGCGGACACCCAGTGCTGTCCATCCCCGGCCCAGGTCCCTTTGCTGTCCCAGGACCTCCCTCCTGCTCGGTGCCAGCTCTGTGGTTCCTGCCTGGGCCTGGACTGTCTCTACGCTTTGATCTCCTTGTCTGACTGGTTGAAACCAATCATGTTTGTAAACAATGGACACCGATCCACAGATTCCATTGTCATTTTTCATCCCCTGCCCCCTAACGTAAGGCCTGGACCCTCTCATGCTGTGAAGTTCAGATCCGTCATCCTGACCCCACGGTCTCCTGACCGGCCGTCCTGCTGCATCTGGGCGGGACAGTCCTCCTGAGGTAGGTTACCCCCTCCCGTGGGTTTCCTCGTCCACTCACCGTGACCCGGAGGGCCTGACTTGTCAGGACTCGGCAATAATCTATGTTTATTGAATATTTATCCACATAAATATTCATATATGCTCTTATTATCTTTTCCGGCTGCTCCTAACAAGAACATTGCTGTCACAGTGCCTTGTCCTGTCATTAGGTTGTTATATTGTCCAAGCTGCCTGGAAGAGCCGCCTGCTTACGCGAGCGGCCGCCACGTATACCATTACAGTCAGATCTGCTTAGCGTAATATTTTGCAAGCAATTTCCCTGCCACCGGGTGCCCACAGGCATTGCAGAAGGTCGGATGCAGTAAAACAACGCAGCTGCCAACAGGGCAAGACACTGGATCGCAGCAGGTCTTCCTCAGAAGCCTCGCCTGGTGGCCGCACACCTGCCGGCCCGAGGCCTCACCCCAGGGCCCGGAGGCTCAGACCCGATGCGACTCGCGCTGTCGGAGGCGTAACCGATGCGTTTTTCTGAATCCAGACTGCAGGGTGAAACGATGGGGACAGGAAGTCAGTGACCGTGCATTTTATCGTTCCAATCTCAGCGGCTGGCCAACCGGGCCCGGTGGGATGACACGACATGGCTTTCCCACCTGAGGGGGCAGGCGGTTTCCGTGGTGGTGGTTTGTGTCTGGCAGCTCCCGTGATGCCAACAATAAAGCAGCGGAAAAGGGACAGTTCAAACTCGACGATAAAGAATGTTCAAGAGCCTGGAATGCCTTCCTGCCCATGATTTCTAGTCTGTGACATCGGGCAGATTGTTCGTCTGTGACATCGGGCAGATTGTTCGTCAGATAGAGTGGTCCAAGCCCTGCCTCCATTCCGCACATTCACCAAACGCACGCGCGGGCCCCTGGCACCGGGCCTCGCCCCAAAGTGCATTTGGTGCGGTGGCTCCCCAGCGCATTAGCTTTCATTAAAAGCGTTCTGCTGCGCCAGCCGCTCCTCCTGACTGGCTTACGGGCAGCCCCCACCGCTCTGGCAGGTCCTAATGGCATTTCTCCACAAACCCAGTTTGATTTATGGTTCCTTATTTGCCCTGCATTTTTAATAATAATAAATTGGATAAAATCCTGGAGCCATTAAATAACGTCTGCAGTGGTTGGGCTTCCAGAAGGTCCCTAAGAGGAGTTTGGCTTTTGTTTAAAGGCGTGTAGTCCGGTCGCCGCTTCCTGCACAATGTCCAGCCACATTGTCTTCATTACGCTGCCAGAGGCCAGCTGTTTTTCACTGGGTTTTCTATGTACAGATTTTTAGAATTCTCTGGAAGGTTGGAATGGATTGTGTAGAATGAAAAAAAAATAGTCTGATAAAGGTTGTGGATGCATTTATATTTAGAACAGTAAAAAATATATATTATCTAGAGATAGCATGAGGGAACAGCTGCATAAAATTAAGCGATGTCCTTGTTGCAACTTTGTTAAGAAACTTCCAGTTAAACACTCTGAACTTAAATGCCTTTATTAACAAAATTTTTAAACTGAAGTTCAAGCTTTTCTTCCGTATAAAGTAATATTTTTAAAGTGACATTTTCTAGGAATGCTCTCTAAAGTAGCTTGAAATAAAGTAGACACTTAACAGTGATTCTAAAATTCTTTTGTTTGTAGCAGTGAGGTTTTCTTTGTGCATTATCTGTAATCTGGTCTTTACCGTCCAGAATATGTTATGCAGCCTGGTCCTTAGGAACTCCAGGCTTCCCCCTGGTTCGCTCTCAAACCGCCTCCTGCTGTTCTCTCCGCAGGTGAAAGGCCCGCCCGTGGCAGGTGCGTTCAAAGAGAGGCCGACCAAGCCCACGGCCTTCCGGAAATTCTATGAGCGCGGAGACTTCCCCATCGCCCTGGAGCACGACTCGAAAGGAAACAAGATCGCGTGGAAGGTAAGTCGGGCCCCGCCGGAGGGCCCGCCGCCCGCCCGCCGCCTGCCCGCCACCCGCGGGGACATGGCCTGGTGCACACACATGGCGGGCCAAGTGAGGAGGTGGGCCGGCCTCGGGGGGAGCCCTGGGCCAGCTGTCCACCCGGACCCGTGGTCGGCAAACCCATTAGTCAACAGAGTCAAATACCAACAGCACCGCTAACGCCACTTCTTCAACACAGACTCGCCCAGGCCGTGGTGTTTTGTGGAAGAGCCACACTCAAGGGGCCAAAAAGCTGCCTGTGGCTTGCGAGCCACAGTTTGCCGACCACGGACCTGGACAGACAGTCACATTCTGACCACAAAGAGAGAGTGGCAGAGGGCGGGGCCCCACGCAGGGCCTGGTGCCTGCATCCTCTCTGCTCTTCTGAGAACCGGCAGTGCCGGTCCCCGGCCGCCGCCAAGTGATGGAGCTGGTGGCGGGCACGGAGGGCACAGGCATGTATCTCCCAGACACGTCCCGCCCCGCGGGCACCTGCCGTGCGTGGAAGCTGCTTCCCTGAGCGGACGGGTCAGCGTCGTGGCCCTGCCCCTCCTGCCTGCTGCCGTGTGGCCGTCGGCTGACACGCGTGCCCGCTGAGGGTGACCCTGCCCCAGGACCTTTGCACACCGGCCCTTTTTTGACAAAAGGTTAATTGGCTGCAAAACAAATGTGTCGCCTAATGGCTCCCGTCTAATGGGGCCGCCTCTCCCTCCGAGGCTCGCTGAGGTCATCGGTAAAAGCTCATCCGTCTCTCACCCCGGAGGAGGCTGCTCCATCCCATTTGAGAAGGAATGCCCGTCTCTGACCGGCCTCTGCCGGTTAATTATCGTTGCTATCGAGGGCTCTGCTGCGGTGACATTTGTCAGCCAGAGGGCTTCGCGGCTGGAAACAGAAAATCGTGGGACGTCTGTGAGCGTCACGTTGGGTGAAGGAACAGAAAGGGTTTTGCCAAATGTCGTTGAGAGGGAGCCGCTGGCCCATCTCACCAAAGCCACAGCAGTGTCTGAGGGCGAGCGCAGGAGCTGTTTGTGAGTAGCGACAAATACATTTATGCTAAAGGATAAATGATGGAGCTGAGGAATTTATCAGTGTCTCAGGAGGGTTCATTGGTATTAACTTCTGCCCTTTTCATAGAAAAAAACACACAAAGCGGATTGTTTGCATTATTCCTGGCGTGTGTGCATGTGTTTTCACGGAATTATCTAACATTTCTAAACCTTGAGCAGGCATCTGCTATTCAGTTATTGAACTTAGAATTGTTACAAATTATTTGGCAAGAGCGATCTGAACGGGTCCTTGTTGAATTCCCTCATACATTTTTTAGGATGATGAAGGACATTCTCACCATGTTTTTAATCATCTACATTCACATGCAAAATGTGTTATGTGAAAATGCGCATATGTTAGCTGTAGCGTACTAGTGAGTGCATGTTCCCAACACTTGACCGTGGTTTGGGGGTTTGTTTGTATTTGATTGTGTTTGTTAGTCTGTTTACCGTTTTACACAAGATAACACCGTGGAGATTTCCAAACATGGCATACGCTTTCTCAGAAAAGAGTGTGCCCCATTTCTTTATAAAAAGTGAGTGGTTTTGGTCTTTTAAGTAATTGCAGGACATAAAAATCACACCAATAAAAACCTCAGGCTCCCCCCCCCTGAGGCTGACGAGGCCGCCCCCCAAGGTGTCAGGCCCCCTTCTCCGGGCTCTGGAGCGGCTGGCTGGCCCCCATCAGCAGGGCCCCAAGGCTGTGTGTTATGAAGGAGACAGGGAAGCAGCCATGCATGTTCAGGGCTCTCGGCCCCCATCCTGAGCGGGCGTCACAGCTCAGTGTCCACGGAAACGGCCATTTGTTCCACCTGCCAGAGGACAGGGCGGACGGGGGGTAGGGAATCGGGGCGGGGGACACGCCGCTGGTGCCCCGCGATGGCCCTGGGGGGATGTCGGGGGTCACAGCAGCGAACGCCGCTCAGCCTGGCCAGGGTCCCGCCCGGCTGGCGCCGCCAGATGTGCCGCTCGGCACTGCAGTGTGCCAGGGAGACGCGGGCACTGAGTGCTCATTTCAATTAATTGTAATGGAATGGCCACATGGTCACCGTATAGACAGCCGCTCTGCACTGGGATAACGGCAGTGAAACACACAGGCCGAGCTGCTACCGGACGGAGGGCCATGGCGAGGCGGCCTCCCTGGGAACGGGGAGGGCCCGGGGTCTCGGTCAGGCCGCCTGCGCTCAGCACCCAGGCGTTTTCAGAGCGTCTGTGGTGCATTTCCTCCGGGCTGCCGGTGGCAGGATGAGCGGCTCCGACCTGGAACAGGAGGCCTCGGGGAGCGCTCTGCCTCGTATTCGGTATGTCAGTGTTCGTTTTCTAACAGAGAAGCCGGGGATGAGCGATGGTCAGCCATGAAACGCCTCGTACTTACCTAACGCGGTTCACCTGCCCGTTGTCTGCATTTCCTGGACCGGGCTGACGGCAGCGAACATGACGGGGCTCTGTCCGTGTAGACGCCCCCCCCCCCCCCCCCCCCCCCGCAGAGCACAGGCGGTGGCAATGGCAAAGATACACCTTCACAGGGGCACCAAGGGCCCTTCAACTTGTGTCTGAGCTACCGCGTGCCCATGCGCAGGCCCTGACCGTGCAGTGGCCTCAGCCCCGGCCAGGTCAGTGCTGGGGGTGGCCTTCCCGCATCCCAGAGGGAAGAGAAATGACACACCAACTTGCAGAACATCCAGGTGTGTCCCCCCGTCCACTCAAGGAGGGTGGAGGGGTCCGTCGCTGGGGCGGAGGGTGAAACTGCGCTAACCGCCAATGGCACAGCAGGAGTCATGGGAACAGGAACCGATGCGGGCGCTGGCGCTGCTTTCCTATAACCGCCTCTCGCTGGACTCCCCGCCCCAGCCAGTCTTCATCAGCCCTGGTCTTTGATCCCCCTCCCCTCCCGCCTCTCCCTCCTCCCCCTCTGCCCTCCCAGTCCCTGGCCCTTCTTCCTCCCTCCCCTGCCTCCTCCCTCCTCCCCCTTCCTCTCCTCTTCTTACCTCTGGGCCCCACATCCCCCCACCTCCCGGCTTTTCCTGGGCCGTTCAGGAGAAGGAGCGGGAGCCTGTCCGAGTTCTCTGTTCCAGGCAGAGTCTGCACCGGGCTGACAGGCTCCTGACAGCTAACGGGGACACGTGTGTGAGGGGAGGGCGCTGTGGAAACGCCGTTTCACACACTCCGCCATCCTGAGCCGCTGGTTTAAAATAGGCCTGAGCACACGTCATTTAAAATGCCCACCTCCCCGCAGACCCCGGGAGAGCTGGGGAGGATTAGCACACGGGGTTCCTAAAAATAACGAAACGGCACAAGAAACCAGTCCGTCCTGGAGATGAGGCCAGCTGGGCCTGCGCCCGGCGAGCCCGAATCCCTGCCGGCCAGGCTGCTGGCGTATAGGTGCTGCCGGGAACCGCCTGTCCCATCGCCCAGCCGCCACCACCCATCGCCCACCACCCACCACCCACCGCCACCACCCACCACCCAGTGCCCACCACCCACCGCCACCACCCACCGCCCACCGCCCACCGCCCACTGCCCAGTGCCCAGCGCCCACCTCGTGCTGCCAGGCCGAGTCCGTTCTCCGCTGGCCACACGGGAGGAACTTAGAATTGGTACAAATTACTTGGTAAGAGCAATCTGAACGGGTCCTTGTTGAATTCTCTCATACATTTTTTAGGATGAAGAAGGACAATGTAACCATGTTTTCAATCATCTCTATTTAGCATGCAAAGTTTGTTGCGTGAAAATGCATATGTTAGCCGTAGCGTACCAGTGTTTGTGAGCGGGCATTAGGGAGTTTGGGTGAAAAGACAGAGGCCGGAGCTCCAGCCACATGAGGCTGCGGTGCTGACCCTGAGCCGAAGCCTTCCCTCTGTCTGGGAAAGGGGAGGGCGCAAGCCGGACCCGCCCTGGGCCTGGGCCCTGCCCTCGGCACCTCTGACCCGCACTGCAGCGAGTGGCGGGCAGGAGCGTCTTGTTTCACCTTTAGTGTAACATGTAAGTGATCCTTATCGCCAGCAACATGGGAAGAAACGGAATAAAACCAGAACCGGTACACGTGGCGGTGAGGTGAGCTCACACCCCCCCTGCGCGGCCCGGAGTGTGGTCCCGCCGCCTGAGGGGGTGCCCACAGCCCCCACCACACCCCCCGGGGGGGGGGGTTCCTGTAGCGATGACACAGCTGCGGGCTGACAACACCGGGATCCAAGACTGTGTTTCTGTTGAAAGGTGACTTCACACATTCACGTGAAGCGGTAACGGAGAACACACTTTCCCATGTTTTTGACCATTGGCTTCTATAAATGTGCTCATTTCTGTGGCCGCACCAGCTTATGCCAAAGCCTGCCCGCTGCGTACGCGGCTGGAATGTTCTAAGAAGCGAGAGCCAGGCCGGGCCCGCAAGGTGCAGAGCCGGGTCGGGAAGGCGCAGCCTGGAGCTCCCTCAGGCAGGTCCCTGTCTGCCTCCAGGCCGCGCCTTCATCACCCTGCCTCCCCTTCCATCCTCCCAGCCCCCATCCTCCCAGCCCCCATCCTCCCAGCCCCCATCCTCCCAGCCCCCATCCTCCCAGCCCCGTGGTGTGTGAGAGGCGCTGAGCCTGTGGAGCCGCCCCTCACCTGGGACCTCCACCGAGCTGCTTCCTGGGCCTGTCTCTCTCGGCCTCGCTCTCCCGCCTGTAAGGACGCCCGTGCACTTGGTGTTGGACATGGCTGTGTCAGGGGAGCTCTGAGAAACGCCTCGCCATGATTCCTAATCGGATGCTCATGGAATATTCTGAAGGACAAACACAGATTAGAGATTAGCCCCGAGGCCAGTCCCAGGAGATGCGGGCGTCCTTTGGGCGGGGGCGCTTTTACCACGAAGACGCTCCTCCTCCTGTCCGTCCACGCTGTCCCAAGGGCCGCTCATTCCTGACTCTCCTCAAATTTCAAAAAGACACGTTCATTTCT